GCCTGAGAGCTCCTCCCAGCCTGGGGCTGGTACCCGCAGGGCCCAGAGCTGCCAGAAGGGACCCTCAGACAGCGTCACTGGTGGCCACTGTCCTGCGTCACCCATGGCCACTGTCCTGCATCACCGGTGGCCGCTGTCCTGCGCCCGGTGCACAGCAGATTCCGTGGGGATCAGGCCGACGAGGGGGCCGGCAGGGAGACGATGCTGGAGATTACAGCGATGCATCAGGCTGCTTGGAGCGAGCGGCGGCAAACAAAACTTGGAGTAACACCCCGCGGCTTAGGGCTGCGCTCAAACCCGCGGAGAGCTCGGTAAAGCCAATCTTGCTAAAAGCGCGTTATTTTTTCAGCAGATCTGTTCTGCAAACTGCCTGCTTTTGGGCAAAGGGAGCTCTTCCTCCCTGCTGGATCCTCCTCGGGGCTCCTGTGGGAGATGGTTCTGGCCCTGGAGGTGCTGCCATGAGGCTGGTTGCCAAATGATGCTCACCAAAGCAGCCCACAAGGCAGTAGTTTGTTTTCTTTTGCTTTTTACCCCCAGGTGCTCCCTTTGGCAGGAGGAAAAAAAAAAAATCTGTAAAAAAACATCCTCAAAACTAGCTATTAGCATAAATAAACTTATTGACTTGGGTACTGCCCAAGCCAGTATGTGCTGTTTGCTTTGAGCTGTATTGCTCCGTCAGTATCTTCTGTTTAGAAAAAAATAATCACCTTTTCAGACTCTTTCCAACATCTAACTGCTTTTGAAAGGAGCAGACAGCTAGAAGAGAGTTTAAAGGTGCACGAACGGCTGCCCAGACCTCGTACGTGCGGGGACAGTGCAGGGAGGTTGGTGGTTTCAGGTTGTCTTCTCCAGTGATGGTTCTGCATGATGAAAGGTCCAAGGTTGCTGCTCTTTTTAACAGAAAACAGGATTTTGTTGGTTCTCCTGGTTGCAGGGAGCAGTCCGGAGAGATGAAGGAGCAGAATAATGTTCGGGGTTTTTTCTTTTTGTTTGCTTTTTATTTTTATATATATATATATGTATATATAGTTCAGGAGGGGACTACAGCCGAAGAGATGAGACCAGCATAAACCCCACCTTGCAGCTGCTTTTGCTCTTGCTCTTCTAGTAACACAGTTGTTACTATATAGGTGGTAGGATTCATACAGGATACTTCCTTTCTTCTTATTTTTTCCCTCTTCCCCACCACCTGAGACATTAAGAAGAATATTTGTTAGGCCCAAAGGAATAGCGCTAAAAATGGGAGCTGCAGGTTCCTGAGGATGCTGCTGCTGCCAGGTACTTGGTCTCTCGTGACAGCTCAGTATTCAGTCAAGAGCGCGGCGTTCCTAGGAGAAAAAGATAAATAAGATAATCTGAGTTTTAACTGAAGGTGCCCCAAATGCAGAGCTGTTGCTGGAAAGTTATTGCAAGGCCCAAGGGCCTAGTGTGGGGCTGATAAAATTTCTTTATTTTGAAGGCAAGCTAAGGCTTATTTTTGAGATGTTGCTGGAAATGCCCAGGATTGGTCTTGCTGACTCTTTTGCCACCTGAAGGAGACCAGTGATGTAGACTTGATCCTCATTATCCTTATTCCAAACTTGCCAGTTCAGTAAGACACAAGGTGAAATGTTTTTTTACTACAAAACCTTTTATTGTGGTTATTTACACCTGTTCCTTGGTAAGTGTATAAATGTAAACATTTATTATAGATGTATTTCTCTTATCTTACAATTCATCTCCAGTTCAGAGTAAATGTTATTTTTTTTAAGCATACAAGTAGTGAGGAAATTTCAGCTATATTCACAGAATATACATCCACGTGCAGTTGAAGACCACCCGCTCTAAGCTAGTGGTATAGACACTGTCCCGTTAGCTCTGCTTCTGCTCCTCGTGTGCACGCTGGAGTCCGTGATGTCGTCGGCGTGATCCTCACTCTTCTTCTCCTTTAAGCTGTTGATGAACCTCAGGGTTATTTCATCCCACTCTTCAGGGAGCAGCATCAGCAGAAACCCGATGCAAATGATGATGGTGGCCCCCAGCCTCACCACGCTGAAGATCATCTTGTGCTTCAGGAGATCCACAGCTGGGGAGAAGAAACAACAGTGCCATGAACGGAAACGCTGCAGGATGAACCAAAACGCTGCAGGATGAACTAAACCACGAGATCAGCCCCTGTGGACTGGCAGTGACACAGGTCACATCATTTCCAGGTCTCTAAAGCAATCAGCTCCTTGGGTTTGGAGCATGGAGAGTCCAGCACAGGGCTACAAGGATGATCAGGGGCCTGGAACATCTGCCCTGTGAGGAGAGGCTGAGGGAGCTGGGCCTGTTCAGCCTGGAGAAGAGAAGGCTGAGAGGGGATCTAATCAGTGTCTAGAAGTACCTCAAGGGAGGCAGTGAGGAGGAGGGGGCCAGCCTCTTTTCACTGGTGACCACCGACAGAACTAGAGGAAACGGCCACAAACTGAAACACCAAAAGTTCCATAGGAACTTAAGGAAAAATCGTTTTTAACAGTGAGGGTGACAGAGCACTGGAACAGGCTGCCCAGAGAGGTTGTGGAGTCTCCTTCTCTGGAGATCTTCCAAACCCGCTTGGACGCAGTCCTGTGCCACGTGCTCTAGGTGACCCTGCGTGTGCAGGAGGTTGGACTAGGTGACCTCTAGAGGTCCCTCCCAACCTTGAGCATTCTATGATTCTATGATTCTATGGCTTCAACCTCAGAGAGGTACTGGAAATGCCACATCTCCTCCACATCCCACTGCCTTCGTGTAGACCTTGAGGAAGCCGTTAGGGCCAGGTGAGCCTCTGGTTTCCTTTTCTCCTTCAAGGGAAGGTGCTTTGTCGTGACTCTGTGAATGCAGGTTGCACATTTCACTGGTGATGGACACTGACCAACAGGCAAGTCAGGCCCTTTCCCCTGTGCTGTGGGCCTTCTCCTCACTTCCAGCAAAAGGAGAAAGGACCAAAAAAAAAAGAAGGTATTCGCTAACTGAAACACCTCGGGTGACTAGGGCCAGCTGTGGAAGCTGGATGAGACTGAACCTCTCAGGAACAGGTAGCCAGAGACTTTGACCATGCAGACAACGAACTCCTTCCGCTGCCTGCACCGTCCTGGGCCTCGTCTCCCCGCGGCCGCGCGCCCGCGGTACCTGCGTTCCCGGGAACGCTGAGCACGGTGCCGATGGAGATGAGGATGGGGTACGTGAGCACCACGCCGACGTTGACCAGAATGTTGAAAGCTGGGGAAGGACAAAGAAAAGAACATGTGGGGAAAGCGTTAGATGGAGATTTTTCTCCTCCACCTGGAACTCACAGGTATGATGTATGCTCAATGCAGACCCTGCAATGTAAGGACCATGAAGTTACTTATTTTTGCATATATATGAATATAACATAGGTGAAGTTCTGAATGGGGGAAGAACGAGGGCTGTAGACATATTAAAAAATTGCACTCCTGAGGTATTGCATTTCCACTTTGGTGCTTCGTTCAAGCTTGAAGCACATTCCAACGCCCTAGTCCTGCTTTCATACACCCTTTCTTCTCCTTCTTCCAGAAGGACGGTGATCCCACACTCCTCCTCAGCTCAGGGTGAGTTATATCCACAGGCAACGCATATTCTTAATGACACTAAGCACAATTAGCCTATGAAGTTAATTAGACTGTATTGAGACCACGTCTTGACTATTTCCCTTATCCCTCCTTACTGTTCTCTACTGAGACCACGTCTTGACTATTTATTTCCCTTATCCCTCCTTACTGTTCTGCAGGTGCTGACATTGCTGCTGCTCTTGGGGTTGGAGCAGCTCCGAGGAAGGGCAGGGTCCTGCTCGGGTCCCCTCAGCCACCACGGCGGCCGTAGCTCCGCACAACGGGCAGGGGTTGTGTGTTGACAAGGGGAGCCTCTTCGTTCCCATTTAATACACTTGTAGCAGCAACAAAAACCTCTTCAATTGCAGAGTAATAACAACTCCAGCAAAGGAGAGGAAGCTCTTACAGCTGGAGATGAAAATGCCCCTGGGCTGAACTCAACAGAGGTGCTGCCTCGTTGGAGAGTAGCAAGGGCAGCTCCGTGGCAGGGAGGAAGAGGAGGAGAGGTGAAGACTGCGGGAAGTGAAGCAGTTTGCACCAGCCTTTGCTGGTTGTGGCAAAGCCATGGAACCAGCTCATGTTTATTCTCTTTTACAAATAATATGCATGAAGATTTCCCCTGAGAAACATACCTTGTTTCACAAGGAGTGCCAGTGTGCACTGGGATCAGGGCCCATCCACAAGGGAGCTCTGCTGCCGAAGGCAGGAGGAGGATTGGGACAAGTGAATGATGTGAGGGTGACAGAGCCCTGGAACAGGCTGCCCAGAGCGGTTGTGGAGTCTCCTTCTCTGGAGATCTTCAAAACCCGCTTGGATGCAGTCCTGTGCCACGTGCTCTAGGTGACCCTGCGTGTTGGACTAGATGACCTCGAGAGGTCCCTTCCAACCTTAAGCATTCTATGATTCTATGTTTTTAACACCTACCTAGCCAGAGGCCAGCTACTCCGCACAGGTAACCCCAGGGCACAGCGGAGAAGGGGGACCAGTACTCCACTTTTGTGAAGTAGAGGATGATGGGGGTAACGGAGATGAAAATCAAATTGAAGAAGCCCAAAGTGGAAACGAAGTGAGCCGCTTCGCCGAAGTTCGCGCTGCCGAGAAACATTTTGAACAGAACCTGCCAGGGAGAGGAAAGAGGGATTTAGACTCGCGCCTGTCCCGTGACGAAGTCCTCCAGCAGAGTGTCCTATGTGCCCTTGGGGACAGCCCTGACCAGGACAGGGTGCCACAGTCCAGCCCACCCCTATGAAGGGTTTTGCAAGGACAACCGTGCTACGATTTCAGCTTTTTCCTACCTGTTCTTGCAAGGATGAGGAGAATGTATTAAAACGAGGAAGGCTGAGGTGGTACCAAGCTTCTGCTCTTCTTCACACATGCCAAGTTAGCATTGAACAGCCACCTTCAGGCCAACAGCTTTCTAAATCGAATGTGTCCTTGCAGCCTTCATCCCCTCCCTTCATCTCCTGTCTGTGCTACTCACAGAACCCCAGGATGGCTGAGGTTGGAAGATCAGGACATCACACCCCCAAGCAG